GCGCGGGGAGGTGGTCGCCAGGCCTCCCGGGCCCGGGGCTCCTTCCCTCCTCCCTGGCCCGAGGGAGCTGCTTTCGGTCCTCCACCCCTTGGTTCCAGTCTGCTCACCAGCCTGTCGGGAAGGTATTCAGGGCAGACTGGGTCCGACCCGGAGCACCAGCGCTGCCCCGTTGGAAGTCGGCGCTGGAGAGGGAATGGGGTGGAGGAGATGGAGGAAGGCAGGCAAGACAGAGAAGCACAGTCAAAAAACAAACAAAAAAGATGGCCAGGCCATCACCAACCGACCAACTTACCTTACATCTGTGTGGGTTATCCCCCAACTCTTGATATTTCCCCCTCTCACTCTCCTTAAGAAAATAAGAAAACACATTGAAACCCAAGGGCACAGAGCTCGTCCCCCTCCGGCTTCCCCGAACCCTCCTTGTTGTTGGCCGGTCCGAGGTTTCTCAGCCCAGGCCTCCACCGCCAGCCCCATGGTTTTCTGCCCCGAGACAATTCACTCGTACCCCTCACCCCCATCAGTGACAGTTTTCAGAGGGCTCAGGGATGGTGACAGATCCTGAAAGTCAGAGCTGCCTATAGTATAAATATATATATTTTTTTCTTTGAAGGGAAAGAGGAGGCCGAGGCAGGCAAGGACTGAAGTTTTGCCTGTTCTGCTGCCCTTATCTCAGCTCCTGGTCCATCCCCCTCTCTCTGCAGAAAGCAATCAGCCACGTGAATTTTTTCCACTTTTCTTCTGTTGCTCTCTTGACTTAACGTGAAAACAGGGTATATTTGAACAAACTGTTTGTCCCAGGCAGGGGCTGCAGCAGGGCCTATGTGTGGCCTGCTCAGCCTGCTGCCGGGACACTTTTGTTGCACTTAGAGTTTACATTTTAATGGATATAAAAACAACTGTGAGAGATGCCTGGGCCTGTAGAAGCCCAGCATCGCTCAAAAAGCGTGTGTTCTAGTGAACATTTTCATATATATTTATTGGTTATAGCCTGTTAAAATATTTTCTTTTTTGTATTATTTATCCCCCCCACATTATGTATTTATATGAGGAGAAAAGGAAAAATTGTACTTTTTTTAGTATTTACTTGTTATAAAGGGCGTTGTGTTTTCTGTCATGTAAACCCGGCTATTTTAGTTTTTCTTGTACTCTAGAATAAAGAGCTGTAGATTTATGTTAACCTCGTAATTATGACGATTGTAATTAGTTCTAAATGGCATGAAACTCAGCTCCTAATGGTCACTGTATAGTCCTGAATTTGTAGAGTTAGTTAATTCCCTCTTGGAACTTTCTTTGTTCTTCTGTAGTTACTTTTTTTCCTTACTTAAAAGGGTTGTCTGTCACACAATTCTCGAATAAACTTTCTGTTATCAATTTTATCTCGTTCTAATGCTCCAATTTAGATAGTAGCACAAGGCTCCTGACCGCCAAATTTCTATTCAGCAAGGGAAGGAAAATATTGAAGACCCTCCCTGGCCTTTTTGTCCACCCGCTCAGGTCCCCATCTCCCCTTTGAGGTTTTTGGGGTTGAAATACAGGGATTAAAAAAGAAATCACACATAGGATCCTGAAACCTCTTGCCCACTCCCTTAGCTAAGATTTCAGTAGCAAGTTGGGGGTGGGAAGGGACTCTGGTCCCCTGGGTCTTTCTGTTTAGCCTTCTGCTGCTCCATTTTTCTCATTGCTTGACCTTTTGTCTGGTTCCTCCTTCGGCTACAACCTCTGTTGTGCCACCTTCCACCCCACCACCACTCCCCAAAAGCAAAGCAAAACCAAACAAAAATCTGGCCGATTACTGTTTCTTCTAAGCAACCTAAACTTCACAATCGTCTTCCGGAGCTACAAAGAAGTGGTCACGTGACCTGAAGCCGAACCACCATTGGGTCTAAAACGAAAACAAAGGAAAACGATTAATCTAAAAAAAAAAAAGAAAAAGAAAAAAATCTGATCCCTAGGCTTCTCGGGTCAAACCTTGAAAGTAAAGTGAAATTAAATCACTAAATAAAACTTGGGGTCCAAGGGAGAGGAGGGGATTTTGATTTCCCCAGCCAGGAAAAGAGGGAAAGAGTGGGAGAAAATGTTGGTTGCAAGCGTAAATAAAATGGTCCCCAGGCAAATGTGCAGCTCTGTTTCCATGATCCTTGGGAAAACTTCATTTCTTAGTCGCGGTTCCATAAAAGTTTTATCGCATTGGAGCGAGGATGGAGAGGGTCTGTCACAGATGAAATGTCACCTCCGTGTCGCTGGAGCCGATAAGAGCGCGGAGACAGGGTGGCTGAAATATGGAGCTAATTCGTTGAAAGAGAAGCGATGGCTGCTCGCTGAAGAGTTGCATAATTCTAATTGTAAGCGATGCACCCGCATTGCTTAATTAGGAGCATATATTTGTGGTGGGGGTGGGGAGGTTTCATTCCAGGCCCTCAGCTTTAAAGCGAAAGCTGATTTTCATTTTTATGTTGCATCCTGGCAACCCAAGGTTAGTAATTACAGCCTTTATGCAAGGATAAATAACAATAAAAAAGCAAGCTGAATTCTGCAAACACACACACACACACACCACACACACACACACACACACACACACACAGCCCAGTCGGATTTTAACTGGACTGGGCTCATCCAGGCACAAGCAATTTAGCATTGGGTCAGGCTATAATTTAGAGGCAGAAGAGCATGCGAAGTTTGATTGGGATCAAATAACGCTCAAGGGTCTGTCTATTTCTCTCTTCTCTGAAGAGCATTTTGTGAATGAGGTAACTAGATGAAGCCCCGTGTTTGGCTCTGGAGGTGGGATGGACTGCTTATTTATCTAGCTGGTGGAAGACAGGCAGGCCGAGGGAGAGGATTTAGATAGAATACGCAAAGCAGAGCTTTGGTGGAAGCTGGGGTTGCAAACAAAACTCAGACCAACCTGGCCTGGAGCTCCCTCCCCTCCTCTCTGCCAGGGGCTCGTCAGGCGGGAGACGTGGGTGAAATGTCTGCACGCCGTAATTCCCAGCACAACGGGGGGCTGGGAGGAGGGGGTGTCTCTGGGAAGGAGGGTTCTCCCGGCCTCTTTTAACACCCAAGTTTTCCGCTCTTCCCTAATCTGGTCATAAAATCTGTCAGCGAGGTCTGGAGAGCTGTATTTCGTGCTCGGGTCCGCCTGGGCCCAGGGTACCTGCTTGCAGCCAACTGTAGCGGTTGTTAGAAAACTTGCAGAGGTGACCACCGGGCCTGCCGGAGAGCGCTCTCCCAGGCCTCCCTGCACAATTCAGACAGTTCCTCTTCGGAATCGTCCCTGCCCACCCCCATCCAGACCTCCGAGTGACAAAAATGGTCTTCTACTGGCCGGGCTTCACAGTAATCCTCCCTCCCCCCCCCCCCCCCCCCCCGCGCCTGCAGTCCCCCCCCCCAGCTCCCTTTTCTGGGGCCTGCTCGCCTCCAACCCCACCCCCACCCTCCTCCCAGCCCGCTCTGCCCTCCTTTTTAAATACTCACCACCACCCACGCGGATGTTACACTGACAGAAAGTTTCTAGTTCCAGCTCCAGGCTGAGACGCCGTTTCCCGGCTAAGCAGCCCTTCTCCGCCCCGGCTGGGCCGGCGACGGAGAGCCGGGAGGGGGAGGGGAGGCCCGAGCCGTGGGAGTTCTGGGGCAAACTTTCCACCCAACTCAGCGCCTTCCCTCTGTCCCCATTTCCCATCTGTTTCCTGGCTCTCCCAGAATCACCTTTCTCTTTTTGCCACCCCCTCCCTCAGGCCTTTTTAAGGGATGTGGAATTTCGGCTGTTCCTTCTGCTTTCCCAAAGAACCAAATTCTTTGATGCAATCCGAGAGAGCTGTCAGGGGGCTAAGATTGATCGCCTCATCTCCGCTCAGTCCCTCTGACCCACTTATTTAAAAATCTTCCCCCAGATCGACTTTTCATTTTCTGCTTTGAGGCCTAGTTTCCCACCAATTGCTTGTGAATCTGAGCCCTTGCCTCCTCCCTCTAGTAAATTACAGCACTCCCTAAAAGTTCAACTGTCTTGGCCTCCTCAAAATAAAATAAATAAACGTTTTCTCCCAGAGGCCAGAAAATGAAAGGCTGTCTTAATAGTTAATATTTCCACTCTCTCCATCCTCAGGGAATTCTTTCTCGCCAGGGATAAATACCTATTTAAATTTTAAAAAAAGTTTTAGATGAAGCACAATGACAAAAACAGGAGGTTTCTTTGTCGGAGGGGACCACCACCCCACGTATTGACTTGAGCTCTGAGAGTCAAACAGATGGCTGCCTTGATGCTTATTTTATTTTATTTTGATACCAAGGTTGGAACTCGGGACCTTGTGCTTGCAAGGCAGGTGGCAAAACCACTGAGCTAAATATCCGGCCCCGAGTCCTTGCTTCTGCTCCTGTGTGTAGACAGAGATGCACAGACTGAGGCTTGAGTGGGCCCTTCTGCATCTCAGACCCTCCTGTTGTAGGCTTCGGGGGTCCCAGAAAAGCATAGATGCCCCCAAGAGGAAGGCAGCTGGGCAGCCCCTTGGGGCTGTGTTGGCACCTCTGGCAGAGAAGGGTTCCTAGGCCACAGGCCGCACAGGCCAGCGGCCCTAAAGTGCCACTCAGCATCC